TGTACGCAGGGTACATTAGACAAGTAAAGTGTGCACCTGGGTTATCAACCAAACTACCCTTTTAATAATGAAATTAATTTGGCATTTCTGGATTGCAATTAGGCATCGCATTTGGATGACACCTGTTGAACTCCAGAAATACCTTTCTCTATGCCGGCTGCAGGAGTTTCAGTTCAAACGTCCACACTGCAGGCATCTGGAACTGATCAGAAAAATCCATCATGGTCCAATGCAAAGAAGCAAATCTCAGATTTGTGGAATATGAGCTCAGGAAGAAAATGATAATTCATAACAAGCATACAAATCATGACAAGAGATATGACATAGAAATGACATAGGAAGCACAGTACTCTCTAGCCTAAAAAGTACTATGAAGGAGGTCAGAAAAGGTACCTCTTCTGTAGTACATGCCCATTTGTATGTTCCTACTAAGTGTGTGATGTTAGCTTCCTCGCTGAAAAATTGTCCCACAGACACTTACTTCAGCTTAACACCATACACATCATTAATCTCAGTTCCTATATAGTCAAAGGCATATTCATTAACATAACTTCAGTCTAGGGACGCTTTCTTAGGTCTCTCAAGGAGACCTCTCCAAATGGTAGTTAAGAGCAGGATTCAAGCTTAAAAGCACTATCTGCCTCAGTGGGCTTCTGTCTCTGCATTGACTCTTAAGGGAACTTTGGGAGACAAATCTCCTTAAACTTATCCTTTGCAAATATCCCCCCCTAGTGCACACTTACCAATTTCCACAAACAAGATCACATCCTGTATGTTCATGCTTTCCAACACTAACTTTCCCATCTGAACCAGCCCACAAAATTTTATATATTTTTATTTGTTTAAAATATAACATAGTTATATAAACTAAAAACATTGTATAGATTCAGTAGAATCAACTTTTTAAAGTTACTTAGAATCAACTTTTTAAAGCGATTGTTTCGAGGACTAGCTGGCTCTACAGCACAGGGAGGGACTGACAGTTCTTGACACAGTTCCAAAAAAAACCCACAACAAACAAAAACAAAAACAAAAACAAAAACTCACACACACACAAAAAAAACAAACACAATCTGATCAAGAAAAGTAATTTACTGGCCCTTTGCTTAAGGCTCAGCAGCAAGATCCTTAGAAGAGAAGAAGGTAATCAGGAAAATATAGTAAATTAAAATGGAAAGAAATAGATTTAGCCTACAAATATTGGCAAAGTCTGATGGCATACATAACTGCAAAAGCAAAGAACAAGGAAAACTTCAGTGCGTCCATCTGACTAACAGATGAGATGCTGTAAGTGGCAAGAACAAATAAATCTTTCATTCAGAATACTGATATCTTGAAAGGGACTAAATTTCATCTATCCTTATCTCTTTGTAAAAGGAAATTCTTAGAAGTCTGAGGTGCAAGAAGACAGAAGTTGAAAGGGAAATTATTGAAGATTCTCCATCCTTTACTGGATGCAGGGGGGAACATTACTGATGAGAAGGAAAAAGCTGAGGTTCTTAATGCCTACTTTTTCAGACCACTTATCCTCAGGGTACTCAGCCCCTCAACCTGGAAGTCTGAGACAAGGAGCAGAAGAAACCCCTCACAATTCATGTGGAAACAGTTAGAGACCTGCTACTCTACCTGAACTGTGTGACTGTGTGATTGCTGAGCCACTCCATCATCCCTCAGTGGTCATGATCAAACAGAGAGATCACGTGACCGAAGAATTGCTAAAGTGATGTCCATCTATAAGAATGGTCATAAGGAGGATCTGGGGAGCTACAGGCCTCTCAGCTTGGCCTCGGTGCCAGGAAAGCTGATGGAAAATGACATCTTGAATGCACAGCATGTGCAGGACAACAAGGGGATCAGGCCCAGCCAGCAAGGGTTCATGAAAGGCAAGTCCTGCCTAACCAACCTCATCTCCTTCTATGACCAGGTATCCCATCTGGTGGTGACCAGTTGATGTAGTCTGCTTAGACTTTAGTAAGGCCTTTGATGTGGTCTCCCATAGTATTCTCCTGGAGAAGATGGCAAGCCCATGGCTTGGACTGGTACACTCTTAGCTGGGTTAAAAACTGGCTGGATGACCAGGCCCAGAGAGTGGTGGTGAATGGAGTGAAATCCAGCTGGCAACTGATCACCAGTAGTGTTCTCCAGGGGTTGGTGTTGGGGCCCATCCTCTTTCATATCTTTATTGATAATTTGGGTGAGGGAATTGAGAGTGCACCCTCAGTAAGCTTGCAGACAACACCAGGTTGGGGGGAAGTGTCGATCTGCTGGAGGGTAGGAAGACCCTGCAGAGGGACCTGGACAGGTTGGATCAATGGGTAGAGGCCAGTGGGATGAGGTTCAACATGGCTAAGTCCTGGGTCCTGCACTTTGGCCACAACAACCCCATGCAATACTACAGGCTTGAGGCAGAGTGGCTGGAAAGCTTTGCAGAGGAAAATAAACTGGATGTGTTGGTTAACACTTGCCTGAATGTGTGCCAGCAGTGTGCCCAGGTGGCTAAAAAGGCCAACGGCATCCTGACTTGCATCAGGAATAGCATAGCCAGCAGGACCAGGGAGGTGATCGTCCTCTTTTACTCTGCTCTGATGAGGCCACACCTCGAGTACTGTGTTCAGTTTTGGGCCCCTCACCACAAGAAAGACAATGAGTTCCTGGAACATGTCCAGAGAAGGGCTATGAAGCAGAAAAAGGGCCTGGAACACAAGTCCTATGAGGAGTGCCTGAGGGAACTGGGGTTGCTTCATCTGGAGAAGAGGAGGAGGAGGATCAGGGGAGACCTTATTGCTCTCTTCAACTACCTGAAAACAAATATGCTTCTTTATCACACAGGATGCTAAAGAAATGCTTCCTCTTTACTAATAAGTTGACTTATGATTAAAATAATTAGAATATAGCTGAAATGTGTCTTGTCTCTTGTATCACAAGGTACAAGAGATACAAGCTGTGAGCATGACAACAGTCTTGCAGGGCCATGTGTAACTGTAAGTGGAGAGCCCCTGCTGGAGCAGATTCCAGGCTGGAGCTGCAAACCACACAGGAGCAGGTGACCTGGAAGGAGCTGCTGCCCATGTGGGAACCAAGCTGGAAAAAGTTTGCTCCTGATGGATGGACCCCTTAATCACAACCCGATGCAGCACAGTATGAACTAGAAGGAAAAGTAAATAACAATTCTTCCCCATATAGCTGAAAGAAGATAAATTTATTTTCAAATTTGGAAAGAGAATGTATGCAGGCTGAACAGAAAAGTGGTTTTTTTTTAGCTCCTCTGCTGTCTCTGATTAGCTTCTTCCCCACAAAACAACTGACCTCACACCATGAGCCAGTATCTGCTTGTTATCCTTGCTTCAGGTGTCACTAACACCTCCAGTTGTCTGTACCTGGCCAGAACTAAAGGAGCAAGAATGGTATGGTAGCCATTTCCCTTGCTTCAGTGCCATAACACATCACAGGCATTGGCGTTTGTATGTGCACGTTTTTTACATCACAATTCTGATGTGTTATTACACTGCCTTGTGTTTTACAGCTAGGATGACTCTACACATGACAGCACTGTAAATTTTTAAAGAACTTATTAGATGTCTTGTTGCCATATAGAGGATAAATTCAGTAATGAAATGAAAGTAGGGAGAGCAGCTATTTAAACAGCTATTTAACACATTTAAGCTCCTGACAATGGTCAGCTACATGGAAGTCCCTTTTATTTCAAATCTTTATGTATCTGAAGTACTCTGGGCAGGAAACCTGTGCTCCCCATGAGGCATTGCCAAATGAGTACGTTACAAATTCATACACCTCCTCTCCCCCCCAATAAAAATCCACATTCATTGCTTTTCTACTCAGCATCTAAGTTAATCTCCTGTTAATCTTCTGTTTTTCTAGTAAAAAGGACACATTTTCCTTGAAAAAAAAAAATAAATTAGTTCCTTTCTGTTCTGACTTGAACAGAGTGCAAATCAGGACATAGCACTTGATCAAAAGATACCCTGCTTAACTATGGGAGAGAATAGGTCTTCCTCAACTCCAGCATCTTATGAAGCAGAAAGCATCTTTCTCCTTGGTGTCCCTGAGAGCCTTTTATAAAGACAGAGCCACAGATTGTCCATAGACTTCATATCTCTTATGTAGAAGACTATATTGAGAAAAGGTGAGTTTGGACTTGGATGCTACTTATGTTGGGGACCTGAATAAATATGTTCTTCTAGGCTGCTGCATACAGTGGAGAAGCATCACTTATGTAGAGGTGATACTTCTCAACAATGAAGGCTCTGAGGACAAGGTTAACAAACAAGAGAGATTTGATGAAGTTTTGCTTTGTTCATGGAGAAAACACATTTTTAGCATATTGTTAAGTGTAATTTGAAACCAGCTGTGTGAACTTTTTCAGGAATATTCATGCCTCTCATTTCTTGTCAAATGCTTGTAGTACTATTAGACTGCTAGGAAGTACAGGCAAGGAACATTTCTCTCAAATTCTTTTTCCTTGGGGAATCTGCATAAAGTTAAGTGCAATGACCATATCAGTAATGTTATAAATCTCATTATGCCTACAACAACCTCTGAAAAGCTACCATCATTTCTGTCATCAGTGTTGTCTGTGAATTTGATTCTCTAGCTTCTTATCATCACAGAAAGTAGTTTTATATTGTACCTCAAAAAATCATATTTTCCATTAATCTTTTTTTTTTTTTTTTTCCATGCAGGATAGACATTTAAATACTGAAATATCCTCCTCGTTTTGTGTAAACATGACCAATGAAGAACACCAATGGCTTCCAAAGAAGCACAAAAAATATATTTAAATAAAGCAATTTTAACTCCTTTCCTAAAGAGTTAGTATAGGCTATTTTCTCTCCAGGATATTAATTTAAAAACGTAAGCTTTAGAAACTTGTAACACACAGGGCTAAACCCATCTATTACAGATTTCTAACATATTTAACTAATGTATCGTTAATTCAGAAAGGAATTTCAAGTACATTTAAAGAAGAATGTTGTACTTACTGTAGCTAACTCATCAAATTTGCCAAAGAGTTCATTCAGCAGCTTCACCAGCTCTTGGGCAGTACACTGTGACGCCAAACTAGTGAACCCCACAATGTCTGCAAACAAAATGCTGTAAAAAAGGAAGACACAGAGATATCAGTACAGAAGACATCCTCACATTCCCATTTTCCTCTTTTATAGCATGATAGGGACCCAACACACAGACTCAAGCAAACCATGAAATGCTATCAAAAATGCTACTTAGACTAAAGCCAGAAACAATCTGAAGTAGAGAACTAGACACAGGTTGGTAGTAATAATTGTGTGTGAACAGCTAACCGAGCAACCATTACACTCTTGGCAAGCACAATTACATCAAAAGCTCAACTTTTTAGTCACTGAGCACTGACAGTACATTCATGAATCATTTTTCAGTTAAGAGGAAGGTTGTTTTACATACAACTACCTTAATAAGTCAGTATGGGTTTCTTGATAGTCTTTTAAACATTTAAAAGATTATTTATTAATCCTTCTCAATCAATATTTGATTTAAGACACTGGTAATTCTACACAAAAGTGAAGTCCAATAAAAGACCCCACAATATGTAAGGAACATATTATATGCAAGCTAAGATAAAATACAGAATTATTGTTTGCTAAGACACCGTCATAGTTTAGTTATGGTTGTGAACTAATTAATACTGCAGTTAACTGCATACATACATTTCGCAGGTAATGGAATAGGTTCAGTAATATGATTACTGTTAAACATTTTTGGCATAAGATTTTCAAAATATGCTTTTTTGTGTGTGTGTGTGTGTGTGTATCACTGCTTTAATATAATATTATTTAAAAATACAAAATATAATTCCTGTCTGGACAAGGCACAGTGGAGGGAAGACCGTAAGTAAATGCCCTGCCCTTTTTTAGAACAAATTCTGCCATGAAATATTACAACCATAGCAACTGCTGCATTTTTTTTTTTTTTAATGTAAGCAGAAATACACATGATCTACCCTCATTTTTCAGCAGAGGTAGTAGGAAACAGACAGTGGTTGAGCAGGGGTTTTACAGAGCCAATCTGTGTTCCTATGTCTACCTTATTTATGCATATAAGAATCCATATAATGTTATGCTAATACAAAGAGATGCTCCATAGTGATTGCCAAACAATTGGTTTGTTTGTTTGTTTGTTTTTAAAAAGTGTTAACATATATAGAACCAAGAAACGAGAAGCTACATGTTAGCTATCACTTCTCTTAACAACCATTCAGGGATATGACTCTCCCTGCCTTAATTCCACAGAAAACTTAACAATGGCATTAGGACACTCTGGTGAAAAATCAGCAAAACAATATCAATTAAACTGTGACTATTAAAGAAAGAAGAGAAATGAAAGTGGAAAGAAAGTGAAAACAACAGATAAAAGTTACTTCTTATTGTCCAATGAGGTAGCCTGCACGTGAGTCAACTGCAGTTCTCCTTTACAAGTGGTGTAACTTCAATGGTTAGTAAAGCTAAATAGTTATTATAGTGCTAAGTCTGGTGTTGCCTCATTACCCAGGGGCTAAGTAATACTCTTATTCTTCCATCCCACATCCGAGAGAGTGGACTCTGAGGAGCTATCATTCTCTTTTGCTTGTGGACTATACCAAAACCTCTGCAATCCCATATTCCAGGTGTTTATTATTTGTCCTGTAGTTTTCTGTCATGCCAAGTTTTTACCACTAAATTCAAAGGATCAGGAAGATTGGCTATTCCAGTAAAATCTTAAATTGTTTAGGATTTTAGACAGATGAGTTATTAGTATCATAAATTCTACTTAAATCTTATAGGTGAAATAATTTTTGAGCAGTGCTTTCTCAAACTTTTTCCCTGCTCTTGATTTTAATGTCTGTGTGATGCTGATGTGTTGAAGGAGCAGTGCTGTTCCAGGTGGGAGGTTTGCTTAATCCTAACACTGCTTGTTTACAAAAGATCTGAGGAGCATATACTGAGTACTACTAAAGTGCAAGACAGAAGCAGTAGGAGAGAAGTTTAAAATATTTTCTTCTGATGTTTTTAGTTGAGATGCAAGGCATACTTTTATTACTGGTTGTCTATCTCAAAGTAACAGCTGTGGCTACCCTTTCAATGACTTAAAACCCTCATCATTCCATTAACACCTTCTGCTCTTAACTACCACTTGTTGGTACAGCTGGAATTGGGTGAGTATTTCCTTTGTTCTTGAAGCATTTGTAGTTTTGACTGTAGATTTTTTGTGGCTGTTTCCTGAAACTTTCCACCCATCTTGACTGTGCTTTGTAAAATGAGCCTAAAATTACTTTTTTTTTTTTTCTTCCTATATCTTAGTTTTAACATTTTTTTAATGCATTGATAGATAGAGCCTGAATACTCACCAATGAAAGCACTGGCTATCTTTGTAACATTTGATAGGAAAATTAGCTTTTTTTTTTTTTTTTCTAATGGGAAGATACCAGATTTTTCACTAATATTTTTTATAGATAAATGGTTTCTTTCAGTTACCAACTTTGCAAACAAAGTTCTTCAAGAGTTTGTCTCATTTCCCACCACTATACATGTAGATGCTATGATTCGCCTCTTTCCTTCTGATCTTAAAATATTTCCTTCTTAATGAAACTCACCTTTCTGAAAAGATATATTGCCTCTCCAAGTACTATGTACAGTGGTTGAATCTACATTGACTTATGAACAGTTTCTAGTAGACACACAGACAACGCTCATAATCCCTAATACCCACATAAATTTACCATAAAACTACAAATCCTATGCAATACCACAACAAAGCCTAGATGATAGATACCTGTATCTTTTTGTGTAATTTGTGGAAAAGATTTGTAATCACTGAAAAATAGTGTTATGTTTTGTTTTGCTTTGTTTTGTTTTGTTTAACTGCTCGTTTTTTACTAGAAGTTTTTAGGTTTTTACTAGCTATTTTTTTAGTCCAAATTTTTAGTAGAGGTATCCTAAGGACTTTTTAAAAAAGTTTCCTGGTGAATCTGATTTGATAAACAACTCTCCCTTCCCCCAGAACTATTAATTTCTAACTGCTTCTTATATAGAAAACCTGAATAAAAGCAAGGCAACACTGCTGTAAGCAACTTCAGGAATTAAAGAATCACTATGAACAGTCAGTCATTTCTCATCTCTCTAACACATACAAGGAGCTGAGCTTGTTCACAGCATTGTCTCATGCTCTGTGACATATCTGGAGCATCTCTGTGTTGATAAGCACTGAGTAATTCCACTAGAACCTTCTGTGTTCCTGCTTTCTCTCATCTGCTCCCCTGAGCTCCATGAGCATGTGTAGCCAGCATAGTGACACGGCAGCCCTACCGCAGCACTCTGAGAAGATGCTGCACCTTGTTAAAATGGAACGCTGAAAGCCTGTTGCTTGGTGTAAGAGATTTAAGCCACTTTCCCACTGAGAATGTTAATGGAACAATATTTTTCTGTGTCTCCTTATGGCATGTGCCAAAAAAGAAATCCTGCCAAGTTCCAGAATAGATTTAAGAGCTTGTAGGTAGTAAATGTTCACTGTTAATAGTGCTCTTTAATGTGCCTTTTTTGCTTGAACAGTCCTGCTGGCTTCACCAGAGCCACTTGTATGAACTCAGCAAAAGAGGGAGAAGTGATATGGTTTGGGTTTTTCTGATGGTTTGCTTTTATTTTCTGCGTGTGTTTTTTATTTGATTAGAGTACAGGTTAAAGTAAGAGTGATATTTTAATGGCACATGCTGCATCAAAAAGGCATCTGTAGGATTTTTTTCCTTTTTTTTTTTTTTTAATCAATCATAAGTGAAAATTATTAGAAAATGTTATCTGTAACTCACTGCAATGATTAAGAAACAAGTGATCTCAAAAAAAAAAAAGCACAACAACACAAAGGTTTATTAAAGCTAAAAAAAAGAAGAAAGGGGGAAGGGGATTTGGTTTTATGTAAAAAAGTTCACTGTGAAGCCTTTCAAGCTGTGTATATATATATAATATATATATATATATTATAATATATATATAATATTATATATATATAATAGAATATAATATATATAATGTATAATACATACATATATATATAATATATATTATAATAATTATATATATTATATATGTATATGTATTATACATTATATATACATATATATATACAGCTTGTAAGTCTTCACAGTGAACTTATATAAAGTTCACTTATAGATATATATATATAAACCCTGTCTATAGTCTTCATGATCACAGCTTTTTAGCATTGGAATGGGTAATTCAAATTAAAAAAAAAAAATCTGTGTTTTGATGCTTTCTAGAATACAGCACAGATCAGAAATATTTGCATGTAAGTAGCTGCAGACTGTCTCTGGCCTCAAACTGGGTCACAACCACATCTAAATAGATTCAAGAAATAATTTTATTGGTAGCTTTGAAACAGTGCATTGCCTGAAATTATTCTCTTGTTACACTGAGCCAGTTCTATTTCTCACTTGTAAAACTTGGGTTAAATTGCTGTACCAAAGGCCCAAGAAATCAGTAACAGATCAATGTTCACTTTGTTTCTTTCTTTTAAAAGAAAATATAAACCCTAACTTACTATACCTGATTTTAAGGAAGAAATGTATCTTTTATGTTCCAAACCACACTCCTGAGTATCACAGAAGAGCAGGTATGTTGGGGAATATCTTCACATGTAAGCTGACATATGGTCCTCACATCCTTCATGGTGACCTTGGCTTGGGTTACCCCTGTAAGATAGTTCTTGTGCTATGCTGAAATGTCTCTTTAACTGCATATGAACTACTTTTTGTTTGTTTGTTTGTTTTTGTTTTTTCTTATGAGAATCAGAAGTTATTTTGATTGTGATTATTTTCCACCCTAAGGCTTGAATCTAATGTTCTCATGTGGTTCACACTATAATTCTGAAAGTGTATTTATGTGTCGTTTTACATTATATATTTTTTTCTTTTTTTCTTTCTTTTATTTTTTTTTTTCCATTTAAAGAATATGCATTAATTTCCTACTGTATAACAATTCTGTCCAAAAACATTACAAGGTAACAAATGCCTCACTTCTTCTTCTTTGGCTGACAGAAGAACATCACATCTTCAAGATTGTTGAATA